CATGTAATATGTTCTACAATCTATATCAAATGAAATATGCAAGCAAAAAAAATCATCAATTCATCAACTCTAACTAAGCACTATAGATTACACATTGATCAATGTTCATGAAATGTTCAATGATAGACAGATAACCCATATGATTTCATCAATTAATTACTTTTACAGTTATTATAATTCTAATCTTCCCAGTTACCAATTACTAAGTATGATTTTAGTCTAAGTACTGGATGAAGAGTTAAAATGAAATCTATGAAATTAAAAATTGTGTTCGTCGGTCTAGGGTCTGCCGGGTTTGATCGCTGGCGGGACGCCACTTGTGTCAGGTTTTAATTCTAGAGAGCGACACAATTGTTACGTGATGTTATAAACCCCAAGACGAGATACCCAATTGTCGCGCGCCCACGTGGGTAAATACACTGATATAGTGAGGGTGTGGGTTCGAACCTTAACAATGCCCACCCACGTGAGAAACTGGACTAATATCTAAGCTATGTTGATCCTAGACAGTCCTGGATAGCCAAGAAAACAGCGAGTGGCTCGTTCCATGAAATGAAAGTTGCTGTACTTGTATCCACAGGAGTAGGAGAAGGGATAGATAGATATCTGGATACACCCACTGTGATATAATCCAGGTGCTCATTTAACCCCTCCGACTGTTCTCCTCTCCTGGCATTACTTAAAATCCCCCATCAAGTGATTTAAATATTTGTTAGCTGAAGTAAACTAATATGCACAAAGACACTTGAACCTAAGTACACAATTTACTCAACTATTTTGTACCAACATCAAACATGATTTATTTGAATAAATCGAAATTAAAATGAACTTGATTAGGCTAGTAGAGTTGGGATCATGTTATAGATGACATTAAAGTTGTACATAACTTAGCTCGTCAGGACAGTTCTCGGCTTGAGACCCTGCCTATCTTTTCCAGTTTGTCGTCCTCACTGCTTTCATGCAGGTCGTTACACTCAGACGGTCGGCAAATAATGGATGCCTACTAGTCCCTGCCCAATGTGGGAACTGGAAAATGAAACCACTATGCCAAAAGTTCTGTCTCAAGCTTAGGTTAAGCCCAACAGATGGCATGTGCTTGACAGAGTCTCATTTACCAGACCTAGAAGTCACCACTTTATAACTTTTATTAAGCTCCTCCTACATTACGCCTAAAATCATTCTCATTCAAGGATATCACAGCTCCTCCCTGTGGGTAAGTTTATTCACTGTCAGTCAGGGCTGTACAACACTTGTTTAAATTCCCACGGTCACATTCTACAGGTTCAATTAAGCTGGTCAAAGCTAATAGGCCAAGTCACACCTCCAGTCTACTTCACCTGTCATCACAATAAAATCAGACTTTGTCAATTCTTCTGCCAACACTTTCAGCTCACTGTGTCAATATTGACGATCTGACCGGCACTCCAGTTTAGGTAACCTCAGGGGGAGATAATGGCAATTAGCCCTTGTTATCTGTTCCTGAAGGTCTGGCTAGGAGATAAATATCTGACACCAACAGATGGTGTGCAAATCTGCAGACAGTAAGTCTGGGCTGGTCAGAATTATCTCTGCACGTTAACACTTAACATTTGGGAAAGTGTCTTAGTGTTTGATATTATCAACAGTCCCGGAAAATTAAATGTTTGTTCAGGTCGTCTTTCTTCTGTAAGGATGTATCCAAATCCCTATTTTTCTGCATACTTTCAAAATACAAAGAAAGAAAAGTAGGTTGAGGAAAGACATTCTGAAGTCACCGAGCGTATTGTCACAGGTGGTCTGTGTCTGTAGCTACCCTGAGATATAACTTCACTAGCGGCACTTTGTGCCTACCTGCAACCGTCGGCAAACCAAGGATGTATCGCATACACACCACTGGGGTGTCTCTAGTGCAACCAAGAATGACTCGCATAGCCGCGTTCTGTATGCGCTCTAGTTTGTCCATCTGACTCTTTGAGATGGTAAGCAGTCCCAGGCCATAATCCACCACTGACAGGATCAGGTGCTGATATAGTGCGAAAAGCATTCTCTGCTCTATGTCACTTGGAGCCATAGTCTTAAGTGCAAGTCCTTTATGGCATCTCGTCACAACACTCTCCACATGGTCCTTAAATGACAGGCTCCTGAGAGCTTGCGAAAGGAAAACAAGGTGAATGACTGGGTGAGAAGGCTAGAGAAAAGAAACTTGACAGCTATACACGAGCTGGAATTTAGACATGTCATGTGTAATGACGACAGCGTCTAGCTAGAGGAACGAGCGAGGGGCCACCAGCGACTGGGGTCCAGGTCCAGATCCGTTTACGGGAGGGAGTGGGGGAGGGGGAGGGATTCGACCACGTTCAACCTGCTGTAAGGGAACCGAAGCCGCCAATATTCTCCGGTTATTTCGTGCTAAAGTTTTCGTCCTTCTTCCCTCAAAGTCAGACAGCTTGATATTTTCCTGTGTTTACTCCTGTCCTTGTATTTCTGATATTTTCTCTTCATTCATGCTCCTTCTATGGCCAGACGTATCTTGTAAGAGACAGAACTTCTCAACAAAACAAACTTCGAAAATTTTACTTTGCCAAAAACTGTTTTTGGGTTTGGATAGAGCCGAAATTGTGAAAACATTTCGCATTTGACCATAGTTTGACTTATAGTTGTCTCCCTGTAGGTAGGTAGATAGGTAAGCTGTACCCCACCAGGGTATCACACTAGCGATAAACATCCGGTAACACAAAGTGACACCATGCGGATGAGGATCACCTATGGAGAGGTCCCAGAAATCCCGTTCAGCCGTTAGGCCATATTTAAGGACCGGTTATATTTAGGGCCACAGGCAAAAGTCAGGGTGTGACTGCAAAATAACTAAAAATTGCATCCCACATGGGGACGACTCTATTCCCCCCCTCCCCCTTTTCTGTAAAAGGAGCTGGATAGGCATGTCATGGTGATGTGTATGAAATAATAGGTGACGTCTTAAAGATTCAAGCCGTTTTTTTATAGTGCGGTCCGGTTGTGGAAGCTTGGGTTGGTGGATGGCTCTGGTGTACGTAACTAAAAGGGCCCCGGAAATCCGACCTAAAGTGCTCTTCGAATAATTTTAAGAAAAACGGAAATTATGGATATTGCCAAGAAGAAAGAAACACCAGTCGTTATGGTATGTGATCTTCAGCAAGATATAAGTAAACAAGCTGACATAATTTTTACTCGCTGCAGAGATATGGTTACTGAGAAGCATGCTGCTGCACTCTTTTGATCTATAAACTTGCCGATTAGTGAAAAAGCACAGTCGTGGCCTTATATTTCCACCGACATGAGGGAACATGTTTTTTTTTTTTTCACCAGCATTTTCTGGTTATCACTTTTTAAGCAATCATGTTTTAAAATAAATTGTTTTTTGCATATTATGTTTTTCTGCCATCGATCTGCGTTTTTGTGTTCTGCTATACTGTAAAGCTCAAGGGCCAGATTATATAATAAAGCATTGTAAACCAGCCTTGCGGCCCGGTAAAAAAATGTCCCGCCAGACCAAGCGAGCCAATAGTCTGTCCACCCCGGCTCTAAACTGTTCCAGTGTCTTTTTCTCCTTTTCTATACTCCTAGAATATGGTTCTGATTTATCAATTGTTATTTTACTGAGTTTTTGCCGCCAGGGTTATCCCCGTTTGCAACGAAAGAGACGGTCTGCGACTTGAATATGAGTGATGCTGGTTTGTGTTAAGCACTGACTGGTTGTAGACAATTAGTACATCTAACATGCGGCTGCATATTTTGTGAGCTCAAAGAGTATTTCTTCTCAGGCCCATAAACGGACTGATTGATGTTTATAATTACCGTTTTCTATAGTTCTTGAGGAAAACTGTTTGCTACTGGATATTTCAGGAAGGTCAAACGCTGCCTTCTGCGGCCAGGCTGGTACTAATGGTTTTCGCATTATTGGTGGCACAGAAGCAGACACCTGCGAGTTTCCCTGGATGGTGTTAATCTATGACCAGCTGAAAAGTTCAATTTGCGGGGGCAGTATCATAGACAGCACACACATCGCTACTGCAGCCCACTGTTTGTTCTCTAGGAACGAAAGGTAAGGCTTGATGACGTTACTGAACAATGTGGGTATCACTGCACAATCGTATATATCTATTGCGATAGTTTTCAAAGTTACCGCAACTCGCTCCACCCCAATGGCCACTTTTTAGGGGAGGGGGGGGGGGTGTTTGGTGAGTGGGTTGGTGGGGCGAGAGGGAGGGGGGGTGCAGTCATCTTGGGTGTTTTAGTATTTAAATTTGCGCTTCACTATATTGTAAGAATGACATGTCACTTGTATTTATATATGTGTGTTGAGGTGCTACCAGAGCGAAATGGCGTCTGTGATCGTCTGCGAACTGGGACTGTCCTACATCTTTGCCTAATATGGCCTCCTTCAGGTCGTTGAAGACGATGTTGAAGATCAGAGGAGAGATTACGACCCCTTGCGGTATGCCGTTATCCCGGGTGCGTGTTGTCACATATCACTCCTGTCACGTGCCTGATATAAGGATTTCTCCTTCAGAACCAACAGCACTCAGAAATAATTATGTTGAGTCGTTTGGCTCGTATTGGTCTAAGGGATTCCCCGTGGCCAATGTACGCTCAACTTATTTCTGGAGTAGGGCAACTCAAGTATTGGCACTACGAAATATATCTGTATATGAATACAATATTCCTAGGCACACTTGGCTGGACACCCCCACTACTTACTAAAGAAAGCCCCCAGGGTATGATAGTTCATTATCATAACCATGTTAACACATATAGTGAAGATTCATACACACACAACTGCTAAACACTTAAAAAGGTGAAATAGAGACACCTAAGTCAGCCATGAAAATGAATGCATGTAATCAATATAACATATACATATAATAGTGAAGTACATGCCAGATCTCAATAGCTGGATTCCAGAATACAAAGTCCAGAGTATAAAGATACCCTAACAGCCAGAAGGTCCTTGAGATAACACCTTGTCATCATTGGAAAACATGGGAGCTGTGAGGAATATAGCAAAACATGGTATCAACTGGCACTTATCCTCTTTCTATCGTTGATGCTTCCCTCAGCTCCTGATGATTCGACTGTCTTTGGTGACTCTGCCTCAACTGGATCAGATGGTGGAAAAGTACCTCACCATAAAGGACACAGCAACTGGATAGGCACACAGCACTTTCTCCCACAAGTCAGTTCACCATACTGTCCCTCAGCTACACCAAGCTCTGGTACTGTTAGACTGGTTGGGGTATATGGCACCCCACTGGCGTCAGTCTTCACAACATGTAGTTGGGTGATAATTGGTAGGTAATAGGTTGATTGATTGATGGTTTATGGTTGGTTGGTGGGTGTTGGTTGGACTGTGATTCTTCTGCCCGCTCTTCACAAAGGTTTCATCCTGCCAAGAAATAACTCAGAATTAGTCATCACCAAGAGGGTAACATCTTGACAGGAAAGACAGAATAAGTATCAGTCACCATCCCACATCAGCCTACTCCACCTCTGCTCCCCTGTTTCATTCCTCAGAGTGCACTCTCAGGACTAGGAGACACTGTCTCCTATCATTCATCTGTCTGTTTAGTGCAAGAGATGGAAAGTCAGATATATGGTGGAGATAGATAGATACTCTTACACATATATCAATCTCTCTCCCCCCTCCCATTTGCACACAGACACCAATATTTACCGTCAGTACCTCTATTCCCTACGACTCTCAAGCCAGTCCTACCCATACATCGATCTGGGTCAAACACACTCACACACTCCAGACCAAGTCCTGACCTAAATTCTGCCCCCATTCGTATGCACAAACTTCTGTTGTTAGTTCAAATAGTACACACTTGTAAGGTTATTAGTTTTACCAGTATGTGTGGGTAATTTAGGGCATAGGCTATTTAGTCTGTACAGGGGAAGGTCTAAGTTCGAATCCGCTTCCCCTAGCGATCAAGAACGGTCGAACTATGTGTGATCCCACAGCCGACACTGATCTCTCTACAGCAGTGACCACTTTAACAGACATTGTTTTAGGTACTCGTAAACTATAATTAACTTACCCAAGCATAGGACAAATCCCCGACATTACAGATCGCCTTCTGAAAGTGAAATTTTCTGGCGTCGATGCACACATCTGAACGCTTGGAAGCCGGCAAAAAGAATGGCGTAAAATTCGCACTTCAGTCGTTGGTAACAAGGAGTTCCTTGTATACAGGGGCAAGGAGTAAATCGGTTTCTAAGAAACCTCAAATAACTCTAGTAATATTTATCCAATAGTTGCACATTTGAAATTGACGTTTAGTGAAAGCAACTAGAAGATGTAGACATTATAATTTTGTCCGATAAAGGCATATATCGATATAAGGGACTATATACCTTCCCGGACGAGTCCAAGTTTGAATGTTGTGCCGATTACAGGTAAGTCAAGTTACCAGTCCCTAGGACTGATGTGTAATGGCTTATCATTCTACGACACGTGTGATTGACACGTCGTTTTCTACCGCTTACGCAAATGTCATATTTTGCAGGAAGATTTTTATATAATTAGGCTAGGTCCAAAAAAAAAAAAAAAACGCTTCCGTTTTTTCCTCTTTTTTTAAAGCCCCTTTTGACGTGATCTTCAAATTTTATGATCTGGTCTACTGTCGTTGTTGCGAAAACCCGATTGGGTTTTGCTGAGTAAGTTGTACTTGTCTAGGTGGAATGTCATTTGTTTTTTGATTATTGCCTTAGGTATTTTGCCTCAATAAGAGGTTAGTAAATTGGGCGATACGACTCGACTCGCTGTGTTTAAAGATTGGGTTGATGGTAGCCGTCTTCTACTGTTTATGGGTGTGTCCTTTTTTTCCAGATAATGTGGACTAACGTTTAAACTATTGGGAGGTAGCATTTCTATTATGAAGTAATCTAGTATGTCTACACCGGCGGCAGTGTTGGATTTTTCTCTCACCGTAGCGACTACTTCCTCGACTGTACTCTCTGCATCGAGCTAGTGGGCTTCTCTAAATAATCCTTGAGGGTTTTTTTTTTTTTCGAGAATATATTTCTCCTGTTTATCTCAATAGCTCCCAGACTATTATTTAAGCTCACTTTGTGAAAGGCTTTCTGAATCAGCTTTCTCCTTATCTATGATTGCTAATTCTGGGTTTTCGATTGTTGGAATATTTATTGGTATTTTGGTAAACGGTCACCCTAGTATTGCCTGGCTGCTAGGGAAGAGGCAGTAGATGTTGTAATGTGTCTACTCCGCACTTAGTCTTCCTCGTGCAGATTCAACACTAGCTCTGTTGTCCAGGTGTTATGTCACAGTTCATTCCAGCCAAACCTCTCTTCTCTCCAAATGTCGCACGTCTGTTAGTGACAGTCGATGAAAGTGGACAGCAATTCACGAGCTTATTTTCAATATAACACAAGCGACAAGAATCAACAGTAGAACTAATCACTTACGCCATTCGGGCAGCTTGCCTTTCTTACGCTCTAAGTCTCCAACTTCAGACGATGGACACTGGCATGTAGACGACTGGCCTTACTAACAGGCCGTAGAATACAACTGATGTCGTAAACAGTAATTTGATACAGCTTCGTTGCTTGTTGTTTAGAACTAACGTTCACTCGATTCTCATCCAGATCCATGTTCATACTTATCACTCTGGATTCAGTTCTACTTTCTTTCACTCTGGGGTCCGGTCACAAAATTACCACCTCATCCTCAAAAATAAAGTTCGTTCGTTCGTTCGTTCCACCAGATCTGGCATTCACACGTGAATTGCTTAATTCTGTCTTTTCACCATTTCCGCTTGAAAACCATGCTACTAGGAACATTCCCAGTTGTCAGTCAGCCATTTTCCATTACCCATGATTCTCACACTAGGGACTTCCTCAATTCTGTGGCTCATTTATACCCTGACGTTATCCCCATTTATAGTATTATTACAGATGTCCCGATGGAGTCCCTGCGACTGGCGCTGCCTCACCCGCTAACCAGTCGTTCCAAGTTCACTACTTTATAATCTGTAACCATTCAGCCAGTAGGCATATAGGTCCAGGGTAAGTTTAGGTTTTTTTTTACATCAAAGTTGCCTCCTCTAGATTCGTTATGTTTTGCGCCACTTCGGTCACGCACAACTGTCTTGACTGTAGAGGGGTTTCCCGATCAAGGAACTTAAACATTAGTGTGGCCCCTTTCACTCTATAGGTACAAGTAATCATGGGGCTAGACTAAGCTCTCAGGGAAGAACAGATGAGTTGAGCATCTAGATGCTACACCACCGCGGCCTTTATCAAGGAATAGAAAAAGGAACTATTTTAAAGTTTTCAAGTATGATGATTTATATTTTAAGTATATTATATGATGCTCAAAAGGACGAACATTGTCAGGAAGTCCCGCGCTAATGAGCTGCTAGTTTTCTCTGGATCGTCGACCATGCCACTTAGTGGGACAGATGTGGATGGGCTGGTGAGGAGGGTAGTGACTGAAGTCATCACTCACCAGAGCTACAATCACACATCATTAGGTATGTATTTTGTCAACGTACCCGTTTACTGATGACTTGTTTATGTTTAAATAATGTAGTTCCAACAAACACCATTATATTATTGATTTAGACCAAATGTATGTTTTTATGGCAGACATTCAATAAATCACGACATTAATGATAATTAATGATTCACTTTTGGGGCTGTCTTTTGTAACTAAATTCTCATGATTTCAAATGTTTATAATTTTATCTGCATGTGGAGGTGGACTGTTATCAAAGTGTAAGAGTTTTGCATGCTGATCGTATTTTTGTGTAAGTCTGTGGTACATGGGTTGCCATTTTTAAGTGTAGTTGCTCTATGCTTCCCCTTCCCTCTTTTAATTACTCTTGCCAGTTATTATTATGTTTACGAATCAGTTTCTTGCCTTGAAATATACCTTCTGTAATCGAAAAGCGAGATTGACACAATGCATTTTTATCCCATTTATCTTTTCCCACTTTTTACAGCATGCTCTGATCTGTAATTTCGTGTTGTATTATCACTAGTTCGATTGCGTAGAGTGCTTTAAGCATGTCTTTGGAGTTCGAAGCTTTGCCACAGCTTGGCTTTGCGGGGTTTTCTGTTATCCACGTGAGCTCATCTCTCTTTCAGTTTCGAAGAATACGACAGTCGGCCGGAATTCACTGCTGGACTAGTCTTGTTCTAACAGACAGTGTTCGGATGCTGCTGTTATTGTTGTTTAGGTGTGTGTGTGTGTGTGTTAGTGTGTGTGTGATTTCTGTTTCAAGCCAAAATGGCTTGAAGGACAGGTTATGTATATACTTCCTTTTTTCATTGGTTAAAATTGACTACTGAGTGTATGCACAGTGGAAGGCAGGGTTACATAGCCTGCTGTAAAGTTGGTGCAAGAGTTATGTTGTTATTTAGAGTGTTTCTGTGTTGCCATTTGGGTGTGGAATGTATATAAACTACTTATTTGGCACAACCATCTATGGAAACACGTGTCCAAATATTTGAGTGACACTGATTCTTGAATATATAAGGGGAAATAACTTGTTGCTGCTATCACTCTGTTCTTTTTGGAGATTACTTCTGAGTCCTTCAAAACTGCACTGGGTAAGTCTGGGCAGCCATCCATAGTTATAACATTAGAGCTTCAAACATCTTTATGTTAGTTTTTGTATTTGTATGTTGTGTCACATTTCTCATGCAATATCGTTTATACAATACTCTTTTGTATTTCCTCTTAAGATTTTTTGTTTGTTTGTTTGTTTTTTGTTTGTTTGTTTGTTGTTGTTGTTGTTTTTTTTTTTTTTTTGTTTTTTTTTTTTTGTTCATCAAATGATAAGGACGTCTTTCGAGTTTTTCGAAGTATCTACCAAGTCCATGAGCTCCGAGACAAGGCGTTTCCTAATTTATTTTATGAGGGTACTTCTCATTGCTCTACGCCTTATTCGTGAGCTCATATGATGAACGTTGTATAGTTTTCCTAAGTTCGTTATCGCGAATTCAGCTCATGATACTGAGCTGTATTCCATAACGGGCCTTCCTGCTACAGCGCAGATGTGCCCCATTATGTCGCAATAATTGTCTTTTCCATTACATAGTCTTTGTTTAGTTTTTAATTATGTTTCTCCCTCTTATACTCAATATGGTTTTTGGGCGAGTATGGTATCTAAATTAACTCTACAAACCTAGGCTATTCTAAGATATTGGTCGATTTTCTAGCATAAGTGGGGCGAGGAATTCGCCTTGTTTTAGCTAATGCATTATGTGATGTCTACTGAAGATCGTAAAACACAATATTTCCTCTGCTCTGTACATGACAGATAATGACAGACGTACAAAAATACTGTTTTTATCCGTTTGACATTACAACTACTACCAAGAGGCCAGTTATATTTCAAGTAAAAAGACAGACCTCACAAGTAGACAGTGTTCCACTCAACACTGAACCATCTGTATAGATAATCAGATCACCTGGGCGTGAATTGTCGTGAATCAACTGTTGGACTTATAAACAGGCAATTCAGAAGCAGTCAGCTGTTAGTAAAACAAAGACCATGTGCCAGACACTGAAAAACTAGGGATAACACTGGCGAAATTAAAAAGGGTTCCAAGAAATATCATGAAAACGGTAAATACGACCAAGATGAATATAGAAAAATACATCAAGAGATTGTAAGTAAATATAATGTATCGACAGAACATGGCTAAATAATAGGTGCCCTTATTGACCAATTGTTTAACGTAGATGGGATGGAGTCTTTAGCCTGAGCACGCATGTTTAGTGCAGGTTAGGATATTTAATTTACACCTAGAGACAAATAATTCCATTATCATTTAAATTCGAACCTGGATCTCGTAAATAATGTAAAACTTTATCATCTTTTTGACAGGCAGGCATTGAGGCACGGAGGTTATGATGCCTTGCATTTGCCAGTTGCTTTAATTTTGCCAAGAGCATTCCCGGCTGTGTTTAAAGTTGTTGTGTTTAAATCCAAAAAGAAGAGAAAGTTAAGTTATGACAATGTTCTGTCGAGTAAGGCAATTTTCACATATCATCTTTATTTCCAAGCAAAAGGAACAACTACACACATATTATTTTCTTAAATATACCCTTGCACGGCAGTCCACTTTTGGAATAGAACAATTAGCTTGTTCATCATCTCCGCTAAAAAGTTTTTTAGTTACTCACGAAGCCTGTTGGACCTCGTCATCTGACCTAAACCGACGACCAATCAGCGCTTTCTTCAAAGGGCCTAAGATGCGGTAATCAGTTTGCATCAATCAGATCAGGGCTGTATGGGTACGCAACTCAAAGACAAGCTGATGAACAATGTCTATTATTGTCCTTGCTGTGTGTTCCTTGACATTATCGCAGAGCACATGCAACCCTTTGGACAGCAGTTATCATTTGACGAATTAGAAATTTCAGTTTGTCTTACAGGATGGCATGCTAACTTGCACTATTCACATTTGTACCATGTTGGTGGAATTCCGCCAGGATCGATCCCTTGTCATCCAGAAACAGCGTTAGCATCATTTTTCTACAGTCTAGCTGTTGCTTGAATTTCGTGCAGCTTACTCAGGGATGATTCGTTCCAAGACACTGAGATCGGCTTCATAGCTTTGCAGAAAATTGGTAGCTACTGCGACGCGCTGCTGCTGACGCTCAGTCGTTTCTTGGGTACCCACCTCGAATTCTATCTATCTATCTATCTATCTATCTATCTATCTATCTATCTATCTATCTATCTATCTATCTATCTATCTATCTATCTATCTATCTATCTATCTATCTATCTATCTATCTATCTATCTATCTATCTATCTATCTATCTATCTATCTATCTATCTATCTATCTATCTATCTATCTATCTATCTATCTATCTATTATCTATCTATCTATCTATCTATCTATCTATCTATCTATCTATCTATCTATCTATCTATCTATCTATCTATCTATCTATCTATCTATCTATCTATCTATCTATCTATCTATCTATCTATCTATCTATCTATCTATCTATCTATCTATCTATCTATCTATCTATCTATCTATCTATCTATCTATCTATCTATCTATCTATCTATCTATCTATCTATCTATCTATCTATCTATCTATCTATCTATCTATCTATCTATCTATCTATCTATCTATCTATCTATCTATCTATCTGTCTATCTGTCTATCTATCTGTCTATCTATCTATCTATCTATTGTCTTCTTCACTTTTACTGGGTTGCAGCCCAGTGTCGTGGTTTAAAATATTTGTTTTGTGCCTCTCGCGTGATTTGAGTGACAGTTTTATGGATCTTCTGGCCGTATTCAGCTACTCCATCTGCGGCGGGTCTGCTAGTTAGACTCCCTTCAACCACAGAAAGCACACCACGGCTGCTCCTCGATGTTGCCTTCCTGGACTGGTGCATCCAGTGTGACCTTTTGCTCGGCGACACTTGACTGAATGAGGCAGTGAAGGATACCCCTACTTCCGCGTCACTCCAAGTATATAAGCAGTGACGTCAGGCTCTCTCAATCTTGATTTATTTCTGCGAAAAAAAAATTGTCTGTACTTTTTCATTTGCATGTTTGTAGACAGACACACAAGCGCAAACAACAAGGTAGGTAGATGGGTTAGTGGGTGAATGCGTAGATAGGTCAATTACAGCAGTAGCAGCAGAAGAAGGATAAAAAAGATGATAAAAGGAAACACACAAACAAGTTTAATATAAAATAAAATGAATAACTCACATGAGCATGTTGTAACTTAATATATGAATGGTAGATTTAGGTAGAAACACCGCTGACGTATGATTTACAGTAAAACCTCATTAACACGAATTGGCCTGAGAAGACCATTCATTAGGTGAACATGAATGAACTTGCTCGTTTTAGCATTGACGCATTATTGTTTTTAGTTCCCCGGATAGCACGAATTATTTAGCACAAACTCGATTTACGGTTCCTTGGAATTGATGTGAACGAGTTTTCTCTGTATATACGATCAAAAAAATGTTAAAGATTAAATATTGCTTTTGAATGTCCGTCCTAACTATTATTTCAGAAAACGACATGGCAATCTTGAAATTGTCACAACCCATCGTATATGATCAATGCCATAAGCCTATATGCATGGTTGACGGCAGCAAAGCTCCAGACCAAGCCAGCAAATGCAGAACCATGGGATGGGGTCTAACCTCCAGTAAGTGATTCTTCTATGGCTAATCATTATCATCGTCGCTATCAGCATCATCATAATTATAACGTCATCGTGCCTCGCCGACTGGAGTGGGCGATCATGCCTCTGCGATCTTTAACATCATGCATCATTTGGTGTTCCGATATTCCCCCATGCCATGACAAAACAGCTGTCATCTCGTCACGATGTGTTCCTCTGTCTCTCTCTCCCCCCCCCCCCCCAACCACAGATCCGTTCAGTGGTCACAACATGTTCTAGTTTTTTTCTTCTCATAACTCCTCAAAAATAACGAACCTCTCGTTCTAATGCATGAAATGAGTTATTTTCAAGCCATCAGCTTTTTCAAAACATCTGGGATGCTTTTTTTTTTTTTTTTTAATCTGGTAATCTGGTAATTTTAATTTTAGCTTCATAGCAAACGGGTCACCCCATCTTTGCTCCGCTCCTGTGCCAACGAAAAACACACAGAATGTTTATCACAGTCCCTTGTGGAAAGACTGACGAACTGCTGTCTCGGCAAATCTTTTTTTTGGGGGGGGGGGGGGGAGGAGGGGGGGGGGGGCTGTCCAAGGAATTCCAAAATTTCTTTTGCAAACCCACATTTACGAGGCCTCAAGAATTTCGTTGCCTCGTTAAATAATTGTCCAGGATTTATAGCCACATTCTACAGCTATCTAACCAATCCTGTTGTTGCTACGAATGTCTGTAAAACATCACACCAATGTATAATCAGTGAAGAAACTCAATATAATCTCAGTCAGGCAAGAAGACGGAGAAATACGGTTCATCTAACAAATTGGTGGCACAAAGTTATAAAATACTGTATTTTTATGTGAAAGAAACATATGTGTATGTTTTGTGTGTATATTTCAGTTGAAAGGAAAATGAACCCAAAACTACACTGATATGCGCAACAATTTCCTTACAATATTTAATTTTCACATGAACAAATATAGTCACAAACAAACACTCAAATGCTGATACGCAATCTGAAAGTGTTGAGGGGTCAAGACAACTTGTTGCAAACATCAGTAAGAGAGTCTCCTTTTTTATTTGGGTAATGATATGAGAAGAAGAAAATTAGAACATGTAGTGACCACTGAAAGGAAATTTTTTGTAAAAAGACAGAGAATGACACCCTGAAAAGATTCTTGACAGCTTTTTGTTATGGCTGTCAGCACACGAACTGATACGTACTGATAAAGATAGTAGATTGTTGGGAGGAATGATCCCTGTTGTCAGTCGGCTCGGCACGTGATGATCTGCTTTTTTCTTCAGCATTCCAAATCATTGAGGTTCATTGCTGCAGATATCACCCGCCTTTATTCATGTGTCTGATTGGCCTTCTCTACCATATGTTTGTAGGTTTGTCTGGATGTCACAAACTGCTGGTGTCACGTGTCTTGGTAAGAGTTTCCCCTGATAAACCAAATAGCACTCTGAAGTAGTTGTAAAATGTTGAGATGTTGGCTCGCAATGGTCTAGGCGGAATCCTGCATTGCCAGTGAACATCCAAACTACTTCAGGGGTGAGGCGACTCAAATTATGGCACCATAGTATACATGAACATTCTTAGGTGCAACTTGGCCTGACTTCCTCGATACCATAAAACCCCCAGAATATATAGTAATTATATGCTAGTCAAAATAACACAGTATAACATACAGTAAAAAATTACTATTGTGATGAGGTGCTTTGCATGGTCCTCACGATTACATTGTGGTGGCAAGCAGAACGTCCGTGCAACAAGGGACAACACGAGATACTTGTGCCTAGTCGAGGAAGGGAGGGAAAGCCCGAGCTAGACTCGTGGTCAGTCGATCATGAGAAGTCAGAGAAGACGGTTGTAGTAATTGAAGATGCCGTTTTTATGTCGTTCGAATGGTTAGTGTTAGAATATGTCGCGAGTGATAAAGTGTGAATAATGTTTGAACATGTGAAATAAATGGACCAGAATAAACTGACAGAATGTACAAAGAAGCTGAGCGGCGTTTGTGTTGTCAACCCTAGACGTTAAAGTAGTGCAAGATTTGTAACAGAGAGTGAGCCGTGGCTAAAGCCAATATGTAGTGAGTCAAGGTGCATGACGAGTAAAGCCGGTGCAAACCACGCTTCATTCCAAGTCAAGCCAAGAATTATTCCAAGTGAAGCATCGGTTCATTCCAAGTAAGGCTTCGACTCATTCCAAGTAGACCACGCTTCATTCCAACCACAAACACTCCAAACAGTTAGGAACTGTGAAGGATGGACACTAAGAACAGAATGTAACAATAAAAAAAAAGCATGCAATCAGTGCAACACTTGTAGGAATACCAAAAAAAAAAAAAAAAAAAAAAAAAAAAAAAAAAAAAAAAAAAAAAAAAAAAATTCAGCAAGATCAATCACCACTGATGAAACAAAGATTAGCTATGACAGATAGGCGTCTGGGTTGTCCCTAGTATCAGCCAAAATCATCACTGTTAAAATTTGGAAAACTGAGCCCAGGGAACTGGCACTAAGCCATAAGATTTACCGCAGGTATTAGCTTTTCCAACTTATCTGTCACAATGCCCGGTTCACTTGGAAGAAAGTTCCCTCACACATCTAGGAAAGCAGGTGTGGTGATTCGTGAACTCCTCCTCGAAGCAAAATACAGCATACTGTCAATAATGACTTGAACTAACTAACTAGATACCTAATAAATATACCAATGTCACTGTCTGGGCATATCATGGAGGAGAGTCCGTGTTAATGATTATTCTTTTTAAAAGTTATTACCACCCTCTGGTAGAGGCAGGAAATATGGCTACACAAATCACTGTTCACCACAATACCAACTGGTGATGACTCCCCCACATGTAGTAGACTACGGTGACTTTAAAGTCACTGACGGGGTTTATTATCAGGAGTGACATGATGAAACATTCTTCTCCACCAGCCCCAGCATAAGACGCCTATTTTATTATGGACAGATCAGAACAAGGCATTATCCTCCGCCTCAGAACACGGCACAACTGATTACGTCACCACATGTACAAAAAAATTCAAGATAGGCGTATCAGCCATGTGTACCTATGGACAGGTTTCCCAGACAGCTGAGCAAGTACTCCAGGACTGCACCGAATTTGATACATTAAGGCAAACCTTTTGGCCATAAAAGAACAACAGTGGAACGTGAACTTTATGGACCACTGAACTAACAACGACAGTGACATTTTACAACAGACAAAATTGCTGATATAGACAACTTATTTTAGGCGAACGAAAAAAGAAGAAGGAGAAAAATTAATATTCTTCTTCCTCCTGGCTGCTGGGTGAGGGTTACAGTGTGTAAAGTTTGATTACTTATTGTCGACCTGGCTTCCAGACAAGTTAGAATCCTGTGACAAAGAGGAAAACCAGAATTAGCAATCATCAAACACCCTACATACCACGTTCCTCACCCCTCCATCTATCCAAATACTTTTAGCCCATAGGTCTGTGCTAGGTTTTTAAAGACTGCACTGTAACAAACCTCAGAATCGCCATTGTCAGCTGAGAGGTGAGCAGGGAACAGCGTACTCTCTAATGGTCTCTATACTGACAGCATTGTTTATGTATGACACCCTTTAGAAGGATACCATCTCTCCATTTTCATACTGGCATATCTGTACTCACACAAGTATACAACAAATACAAGAATATAGGCATATATAACACAGAAAAGCCACATACACACACATATACAGCCTCTCCTTTCCAAGTAATGTTTTTAGAAATCGTCTGCAGGCCGGATGTGACGATAGACGCATTCTAGATTCAGCATGATCTCGACCTAAACCGACCTATAGGGCTTGTGTGTTGACAAAAATACTTCTCATAGTTTGAAGACTGTCCAGATACATCAAACAATGCGGCAAACAGACTGTAAACGGAATATTTAATGTACAAACTGTCTGGAACCCATTGAAGGAGCCCGAGGAGATACATCGACTCTTTAGGGGGACGCTTAGATTTGGCTCCCACCCACAGTTAGAATGGTTAGACGGCACAGTCCTACCGTTTCATGTAGCCACCCCTGTCTTACATTCAGCAGCAGTGCTACATATATGGTACTAATAAACTATAATGTATTTACCCATGCTCAAGGTGATTTAAACAGAACAGCACAAAAGCAGCAAGCCGTCTGTCTTTTTGGGAAGCTCAAGCGCACGCGCCCGAGTGTGTGTATTTACGTGCGTGCGTGTGTGTGTATACTGAAATACTTTGGGTAGATTTTTAACACCAATTTTTGCCCGGGCAGCGCCGTTAGGCTACTCTTTTCTATTTCCAATTGCCAAGGGATTTTTTTTAACGTGCGGAACAATGCACAGGGCGTCCGATCTCACTACCCAGAGACAAGTGGGAATTACTAGAAGTCCGAGTCTGTCTGGAAAAATCTCAGCCGTTACAGTGGATAGAAGCCGGAACTTCTATGCCTCGAGACCACGCAGCTCCCCCCCCCCCCCCTACTTTCTCTGATAAATATAACCTAAACTAACACTGAAATATAGAGAGTTCAACAAACATGAACACGTAGCGTCCGCTTTCTGAACAAGACTCATTGATAAAAAGGACCTTTTTTCACGCCTTTAGACGTATTGGGCATATAGGGCTAGATCTACATTTTATAGACCAATCGGCAGTCGGTTGGTGATCTGGTCAGCATCACACGGACAACCATTACTTCTCAAAACTGTACCTGGTACCTATTTAATGCTGAGTCGACCAAGGAGTCAAGGTCATTTTTTTAAAGTTTGGCACCGTCATGATCTTACCCACGGCCTTCTGACCCGCAGGCGAGCGTTTATGCGCTACACCACAACAGCTTTCCAGACCAGTGGTAAGATTTTGTAAAATAACAGACACAGGTGTGTATAACTGTTGCTCTGTTTTATTTCACCAGACGGTGCAGATGCTCAAGCTTCATCACAGTTGCAGTACGTAGACGTGACGATAGTTTCTAATGATTCTTGTAGAGCAGTTTATGGATCCTTGAGTTCCAGCAAAACTTTCTGTGCAGGCAGCGAAGGCAGAGATTCCTGCCAGGTAGGCACTTGCTTAAGTTGGAAATGTTATCATTATGTCAGGACGGTGTGTGAAGACATATTATATTGATAAGGTGGTGTGTGGATACATAGCAACAGAGTTTTCAGTTGTGTGAGGATGAGAGGTCACAGTAATAAATTCATGTGTGAATACTGATTAACGATTTAAGAATCGACATTATAGTCCACCGAGCATAACTGCAGGATGCTCTGTCTCCCGCAGCAAACGTCTTGAGGTGTAGAAGTTGACTGTTTCCGTAGCATACTGATGATACACTCGTAGTTCGTTTTCCATTATACATCCCTCCTTATAGGATCTACTTCTTATTCCAGTTCCCAAATTCCTATATATTTATTTCATCTAACTTTGTGTCAGCATTCTTTCATATTAGGGAAAATAACTATTCATTTTTCTGGAAAGGCAGAGGCCAGGAAGAAATCTGGATGTATGGAGTAGGATTTGCAGTAAAGAATTCATTGTTAGGATCAGTTGAGAGTCCAACTGGAGGAAGTGACAGAATATTATCCCTACGATTGTCTACCTCAAGCGGTGTTATTACCCTTGTTACTGCATATGCACCCACTCTAACGTCAGCAGAAGACTGACAGACTGACTTTCTACCCCACCAGGACATCACACAAGCGATAAACACCCGATGACACAAAGTGCCACCATGTGGATGAAGATCGCCGTGGAGAGGTCCCAGAAACCGCGTTCAGACAATTGGCCATATTTATGACCTGCCTAAATTGCGGCCCCTGGCAAAAGCCAGGGTGGGGCTTCAAATAACAAAAAATGTCGTCCTAAAAAGGACGAAACTAGATTATGCTAATCAGCAGAAGACGCAAAGGACTCTTTTTATGAGGAACTGGATAACGCAGTGAAATCAATTTCTAAATCTGACAGCATCTATATACTTGGTGATTTTAATGCTTGCGTAGGGTCAGACTCAAACTCATGGCCAGTTTGTTTTGGAAAATATAATATTAGCCACATGAATAAAAATGGGCAGAGACTACTGGAATTCTGCACTAGATGTGACAAACTCCTTTTTTAAAACTTAAGACCGCCATAAGGTGTCATGGAAACATCCAAGATCTGGCCACTGGCACCAGCTGGACGTTATTCTCACAAGGAGGCAGCACTTGAACTGTGTATCACTAACTCGCAGCAACCACAGTGCTGACTGTGATACCGACCATTCCCTAGTTGCTGCAAGAGTTCGGATGAAACCAAAGAGAATTTTCACTTCAAAAAACAAATATATCCCTAGGTTAAATATTTCCACAACTAAAAGCCCTGAAAAGTATTTTGAGTTTCAACAACAGCTTGAAGATGCTTTCACTTATATCCAGGATAACTCTATTGCAATCCTAAAATGGGATGAAATTAGGGAGACTGTTTACAAAACAGTTGTATCAGTCTATGGGATTAGAGAAAATAGAAGTAAGGACTGGTTTGAAGCAAATAGCCAGACACTCCAACCTCTAATTGACAGCAAAAAGGCAATACTTCTCAGAAACAAGGAAAGAACAACAAGGAACACTCTCATTGAATTAGGAGCAGCTAGAAATCATTTGCAAAAGGTAGTTAGGCAGTGTGCTAATAACTACTGGATCCAGCTATGTGAAAGCATTCAAAATGCTCGCAGTGGTGGTAATATCAGAGGCATGTATGAGGGAATCAAAAAGGCTATCGGTCCTACAATTAAAAAAAGCACACAACTAAAGAATTTGAATAGGGAGATTATTAATGAGAAGAAGAAGCAGCTAGATAGATGGGTGGAACATTATCTGGAGCTTTACTCAGTTGATACTAAACTAGCAGATGGTGCTCTTAATGCCACGGAGACGCTACCAACTCTTGACTATCTGGACACATTTCCAACAGTTGTAGAAGTTGGGAATGAAATTGACGAATTAGCTTCATGAAAAGCCCGAGGCAGAGATTTAATTTCTATGGAAATCATCATGAGTGGGAAAGACGTTTTAACCCCACACATCTATCAGCTAATAACACTCTGCTGGCAAGAGGGAGAGGTTCCGCAAAATTTCAAAGATGCAAACATCATAACTATGTACAAGAACAAGGGTGATCGGAATGACTGCAATAACTACAGGGGAGTGTCACTGCTGTGTACTGTTGAAAAAGTGCTCGCGAGAATTGTTCTGCGAAGATTCCAGATCATAGGGGATCGCGTTTACCCAGAGTCGCAGTTTGGCTTTCGTGGGAACCGATCTACCTCTGATATGACATTTTAATTACGTCAGTTGCATGCAAAATGCCGCGAACAAAATCAACCACTGGATGTTGCTTTTTTATTTTTTATCTTACCAAGGTATTTGATTTGGTTAGTCGAAAAAGTCTGTTCAATGCACTAAAGAAGATTGGGTGTCCACCTACTCTACTGAAAATTATTGAGTCGTTCCACACAGGTATGAAAGGTACAATCAACTTTAATGGTGAAACATCGGAAGAGTTTTTAATAAAAAATTGAGTGAAGCAGGGGTGTGTATTTGCTCCTACCCTCTTTGGAATATACTTTTCACTTCTTTTGACACATGCCTTTCGAGATCAGGAGGGTGGTATTTTCTTTCATTCTCGATCTGACGGCAGCCTTTACAATGCACGCAGGCTGAAGGCCACAACCAGGATAAGAAAGGTACTTATCAGAGAGCTGCTGTTGCAGATGATGCCGCTATATCCACCCACTCAGAGGAGGAGCTGCAATGTTTACTATCTGCCCTTGCTGATGCGTGCTGTGAATTTGGACTAACAGTCAGCAAAAAGAAGACAAAGGTTATGGTGCAAGGTGTCAATGACAGACCTACAGTCTACATTGACGGTGAAGAGCTTGAGACCGTAGACCATTTTACCTATCTGGGTTCCACAGTGAATAACAAACTATCGCTGGACCAAACAATCAACATCAGGATAGGTAGGGCAGCAACAACAATGAGCAGATTGACAAAGAGAGTTTGGGAGAACAGAAAGCTCACAATTAAAACAAAAACCCTTGTCTATCAGGCTTGTGTTCTCAGAACTCTGCTTTATGGCAGTGAAACTTGGTCAACCTATTTGCACCAAGAGAGGCGGCTTAATAGCTTTCACATGCGATGCCTAAGAAGAATACTTGACATTAAGTGGCAGGACAAAATCACAAACACCGAGGTACTGGAAAGAGCAGGTACTACAACAGTCTTTTCCATGCTCAGTCTACGAAGGCTCAGGTTGCTGGGTCACACCTGGAGAATGGAGGATGTCCCTAAGGACATCCTTTATGGTGAATTAAAGACAGGAAGAAGATGTCGAGGCCGACCTCTACTACGTTATAAAGATGTATGCAAGCGGGACATGAATGATACAGGCATTGAGGTGGACTCATGGGAACAAAACACCATGTACCGTGTTGTGTGGAGGGGGCACATGGTGAAGGGATTGAGACTGAAGGAAGAAATCATTGCAGTAAGGATGAGAGCTGAGCGTCTGAAAAGAAACGGATTAAACACAAATGTTAACAATGGTCCTGAAATCCCATGCTATCATTGTGGAAGACTTTTCTTGACACGGGCGGGTCTTGCTAGTCATACTCGCCATCGCCATGGGCTGTGAGTCTCATGCCTCCTTATAGCGCAATATAACACTATCATCTGGAAAGACGGAAAGGTGCCAATGGTGAATGTGTGTGAAGACAGGACTTCTGAGTGATAGAGTGTGACCAAAAAAAAAGAAAATAAACATAAAAAGGAATAATTTTGTGTGAAGAATGATATGCCAATAAAAATAAAGTGAAAGCGGAAATCATTGTTAGACTGCATACGGACATAATATGCAATACACACATTTGAAGATTAGTTTAATAAGCTACTGATACGCGATACTTTTGAATACAATATTAGAACGCAAAGAAATGATAGTAAGTATCTGGCTGCAGGTGCACCCAACATGTGTAGAGCATAGAAAACTACCGAGTTTGTTATTAAAATCTTTAGGAACTGGTAACGAACTCGGGCCCTATAACATATTAGCTGACCTGACATTATAGATTGGTCAGGTTGGTGTACGTTAGAGGGGTGTCTTCGAAAGCTTTCTGTGTTGCGTGCTAATTGCGTTTTCACTCGTAAGCAGAATTAGTGTTTGTTGGTAGGTATATGACAGCAGTCTTGGATTTTAAGTAGCATATTAGTGTATTTAGGCTGTCAGTGTTGGTTGGCGCTAGTAGGGTAGCGGTGCGTTTCTGCAGCAACACAACTTTTTGCGGGCCACCGCAAAATGTTAAGAAGTCTGAAACCATGGGATGTAGAATGAACTCTCTCATGAGAACTAAGTTCAGTGTTTAGGGTAAGGGGGTGGTTGGGGTTAGGGCCAGTTATACATGTTATGAGGGTCGTTAAAACCGCTCACATCCTGTAATATAAAGAAAGTGTGGTGGCTGGTATGAACGTCGATATAATACAACCTCGCACAAGCTGGCACCCCTGCCACCTAAACTTTTGCGTCTTAAAGGTTAAGAGGCAAGAATGAACATCGAATAGCAGTATCTTGGCCCGACTTCGTCACTCATAAGTGTCAATTTGGGCCCGAGTTCACCACATGTTCTCATCTTTAGAAGGAAATATTGTGTCTTGAAGCCCCCCACCCCCTTTATTTTCCTTCCACGCTCCTTGCCCCACCCCAGAGATTGTAACCCTTATTACATTGTATCCAGTGACTCAAGGATGAGTCGGACACGAATTAATAGGGAATAAATCACAGAAACCCTTTTAAACCATACAAAGTAATAATATGCTAGTAAGTGAAGGTTCTTTGATTCCGTCAAGTAAATTGATGTCCATCTATTGCACCCCACCCCCATTTCCACATTTTTTTCCCTTGCTGCTTTCTGATAATTTAATCATCCTTTGATTACACAACCTCCTTACGTACGGTCAGCCAACCGCGAAAATCCTAAATCTCTAAAGGTGTAACCTGCAGTCTTGGGAAAGAGGGAGCGGTGGATAAGAGAGTGGTTGGGGGGGGGGGGGGCGGTTGTTAAGATGTCATCATCGATTAGGGTTTTAAATTGTTTTCTTGCGGTGGACGCAAAAGAATAAAATGCGATATTTCAAATATCAGTTCTAAATTAGACATAAAGACGGCAATCTGGTTTGCCCACTTACAGAGAATGTTTTGAATCCATACAAAACAATTGGCCAAAATAAAAGAAGAACGTAAATCACAAAGGAGAAATAGAACATCAGAGACACTCTACACAAACACGATATGTCTGTGGTTTATACCAGAAGAGCAAGATGCACAATCCTATATCTCCCTGAACACTCGAAGCGGTAAAAGAGGAAATAAAGAGCAAGATAAGACTTGTTATCCGTATCGATCCCAACACATCGGTTTGACCCACTCGTGCTCCGTCCTCCGATGCAGCAGCCACCTCAGTGTTAATGCTCGTCTTACTTCGTAGGAGTTGATTTGCGTAGGCCTATCTCCAGCAAAAAAGTTTCCTAGTTTAAGCGGGTTACGAGGAATTTAATTTGATTCAGTCTGATTTACAAACGCGAAAAAGTCTGGCCAACTAGAGGTCCACCGACTTTATAAAAGGGCTTGTACTTTGCTGTGCAGACTCTGGCGTGTGGCTCGGCTGACAGTGGTCCATTGCCCTGTATTGTTGATGCTGGCAGCACATGGCCGCATCGCAATGCCCTGTATTGTTGATGCTGGCAGCACATGGCCGCATCGCAATGCAGGTGCGATTAGCTGAGATAGAGTCGGGCTCGTTTATAATGGCGGTGATGTTATTATTCAATATTAAGTTTGGTTTAGACATACATTTTCTCTAGTGGTTAAACTATGTAGGTAGATATATCAGTGTGTATCATGGCTCAGAGATAATTGATATTGTGTCGCTAGAAGCGAACTTTGATTTATGTTAGTTAGTGCTCAATGAGTGGCCTGTTTAGACACGATGTTGGTCGTTAACGTGTTATTCGTGATCCAAGCTGATTTTATCTTAAGTGAAATAAGCAGAAGCTTAATTGGGTGATCATAGTTGCGGTTGTCTTAGTTCAGATTAGGACTTGTGGTTAGTCTACCTAGTTTATTTATTGTACTGCTAATCTAGACTGTACACAGAAGATCTCATGTCTGGTCTAGAATATTTCTGTTTCTAGTTCCTGCCTAACGAACTGCAAAAAGTTTATGCATATTAGTCCTCGTTTAACATCCATTTACAACGAGTGGTTCATCGTCCCTTCGTGTCAACGTCTCTGGAATGCACCACATTCAATATGTCGGCCCTGTCCATACTTCTTCCTTCACTGACTAATGCAGACACTGCTAGTCTGTCAGCCCTTTCATATTTCCCTTTGTCCCGGTATGTTCTGGTGCGTACAGCCAAAATAGTTTCTAAAGCCGGAATTTTGTGTGCTGTAAACCCATTCCCATTTGGTTACTTCAAGTATTTTTGCATAATAAATCGATTCCCACACATTATTTGGCATCCATAAAAAACTATACAAGAATAGGTAAATATGACTTGCTGTTTTTCAAAGGTCAGCTAAGTGAATAATTTTACAGCATTTGGCAGTGGCGAGACACAGAGTAAAGTGGGCTTTCTTGACAATTTGTTCTGTTGCGTTTTGAGAGATGTTTGTAACATAGTTCATACTAGGTTTGTTTGAATAAATAATTGATTGTAATACATTGTTACCCATTCTAGGGTGATTCCGGAGGCCCATTCACCTGTCAAGGAGACGATGGCAAGAACTATCTTTATGGTATAGTGTCAGCTGGCATTGAGGGAAGATGTGGCAGTCTCGTGGGTATCTACAGCAAAGTAGCTGCTTTCATAGATTGGATCAATAGTAAACTACAATAGAGTTAACAGCGTGCAAACATAGGAACTAGTACTGGTAAAGTTGACATTATAGCAAAGTTACTAATTCTCTGAAGAAAAGAAAAAGCTAAAATAAAAGTAATTGAACACATCGATTTAACAAAACTGTAACCATCATTACCAGTTTATTTATTATCTTCTCCTTCAGATATCAACGATAACATTTTAGAGGGGGGAAACAGTAACCATCTGAGATTCCTCATACAACAAACATAGTAGTTACATGTGCGTGTGTATGTGTGTGCGATGGGTGACGTGGGGAAGGAGTCGGGGAGGGGTCGGTTGCTGGTTTTACCAATCCTACGTCTCTTGAGTTGCATCCTCTATGGCAAACTAACTAGACAAATACTAAATAATCAATTCAAGCTCCAATAAAGCTTTACAATTAGGGCACTCCTAACAGATTCACCATACATCAATGTATACGCTGCAGCCATGTGATATGTGGGTAGGGATCTTAAATTATTTTCCACAATGGCTTTATTTCCTGAATTGTCATTTTTGCATTTTATACTCTTTTTTTTTTTTTCGTTTTTTTTTTTATAATCTGAAATATTAACACTAGTTCTTAAAGCTTCTTAAATGTGTGTTTCCTACTTATAGAAGGACAAAACAATAATCCCTATTTTTATCCCTTTCGCTGATATAGCGTATTTCTCCGTTTGCTCGTACACTGCTACGTCTTTGCTTACATACTTGTCGTACATTGCTACGTCTTTGCTTACATACTTGTCGTACATTGCTACGTCTTTGCTTACATACTTCTAAGGACCCTATTCTCGGGGTTCAAATACCAGTAAACATTAGCCATATTCGGATCAGATTAGCCCACTTACATGCGATTAAATACGTTCTGTGTTATCCTGTTTTATAAAGGATGGGAAAATATAGAAAAGAGAAGAAAAAGGGGTAAGAAAAAACAAAAATTTGTGTCAGCTTTACAAAACCAATTACAATGAACAAATGACGCTGCGGCGATTAGCCTTCATCCGCTAACAAAGACAGCACAGCACAAATTAAAAAAAAATATGCACTTACTATGAAATGGCTACATTGAACTATGAAATGGCTACATTGGACTATTGTGTACTAAATAAATGATACTCATCTGGATGTCTAGCGAAAACTCTGAAAGAATTAACTGGAAAGGTATTGACCTATTTAATATCATAAAACGCATTGGAATTGACACTGTGTCAGTAGCCTGGATAGAGGAAGGAGTGAACGCCAACAGTAACAGGAGAAAGGAAATAGGGTTTACGTAACGCAAATCTCCCCAAATAGAGTAGGTCACTTTCCATTCACAAGTTTGTTGGGCAAGTCGACTTTCCTGAAGGTTATAGACGCGATATCAACTGTGTCGCGGAACACCCCTCTGATCTTGTGCGAAGTTGACGAGGCGAAGAAACTACCAATTAGAAGTGACCTAGTGTGTATATAGACGGGAAGTGAGAAGGTTACCGTTAGGTGTTCCGGAAATAGAAACTAAAGTGTCAAAAAAAGGGACGGGGTCAACTTACAAGGCGTGCCTAAGGTTAAGTCGTGCGGTCGACAGTAGCTAGTGCATACAGGTGGGATAAGAGTGGTACAAGTGCTAGCGTACAAATACCCATAGACCGACACATAGACAGATAGAACGAACGAACAAAGTTTATTTTCCAAAGGTTAGGAACTGGGCCCGCAGGCCCGTCTAACATTCTGCCCTTCGAGGTCTCCCTCCGTTCTTACATCATTTAATTTATATACCAAATAATCAGTAGTACCATCAGTAGCTTCAATATTTTTAAAACAAGCAATGGAGTGTGCATATTTGTAACTTGAGTAAACAGTAGTAGTTGTAATAATTCTAGGGAAAGTGCGTAATTTCTAAAATATTTATTATCTTCTATGGGGTATATAATCTGTGCTTAGACAGACAGACAGACAGACAGACAGACAGACAGACAGACAGACAGACAGACAGACAGACAGACAGACAGACAGACAGACAGACAGACAGACAGACAGACAGACAGACAGACAGACAGACAGACAGACAGACAGACAGACAGACAGACAGACAGACAGACAGACAGACAGACAGACAGACAGACAGACAGACAGACAGACAGACAGACAGACAGATAGATAGATAGATAGATAGATAGATAGATAGATAGATAGATAGATAGATAGATAGATAGATAGATAGATAGATAGATAGATAGATAGATAGATAGATAGATAGATAGATAGATAGATAGATAGATAGATAGATAGATAGATAGATAGATAGATAGATAGATAGATAGATAGATAGATAGATAGATAGATAGATAGATAGATAGATAGATAGATAGATAGATAGATAGATAGATAGATAGATAGATAGATAGATAGATAGATAGATAGATAGATAGATAGATAGATAGATAGATAGATAGATAGATAGATAGATAGATAGATAGATAGATAGATAGATAGATAGATAGATAGATAGATAGATAGATAGATAGATAGATAGATAGATAGATAGATAGATAGATAGATAGATAGATAGATAGATAGATAGATAGATAGATAGATAGATAGATAGATAGATAGATAGATAGATAGATAGATAGATAGATAGATAGATAGATAGATAGATAGATAGATAGATAGATAGATAGATAGATATGTAGAAAGACTGACATATAAATGGATGTGCAAGGATTGATAAAAGAATGTTTGGATGTTTTGATGGTTGGATGCACGGATTGATGAATGAATGGGCGTTTGGATGGTTGGATGAACGGAATGATGAATAAATGGGTGGGTGGACAGATGTTTTGGTATCATCATCATCATCAGGTGCCCTGCCGACTGGCGTGGGCGATCATGCCTCTCCATAATCCGCGATCTCCTGCAGCATGTATCAGTTCGTGTGCCGACACACCTCCATGCCATGCAACAAGACTGTCAAGCATCTTCTCTCGTTGTCTACCTCTATCCCTCCTTCCACAGATCTTTCCAGTGATCACAACATGTTCTATTTTCCCTCTTCTCATAACATGGCCGAAAAATGATGACTGTCTCCCTCTGATGTCAGTGATAAGTTGTCTTCGGTCTCCCGCCTCTTTCAAAACCTCTTGGTTGCTCTTTTTGGCTGTCCAAGGTATTCTAAGCATTCTTCTGTAAAACCACATCTCTGAGGCCTCTAAAAATTGTTTGGCCTGCCTACCGATTGTCCAGGATTCACATCCATATGTTAAAACTGGATGTATGTAGCAAGCAAGAATTCTTTTTCTAACTCTCAATGACAAGGATATATTGCACAAGATGTTTTTCATTTTATAAAATGCCGTTTTTTTTTTGCCTGTCCAATTCTGTTTCTTATTTCAGTTATGCATCTTCCATCTGATGTTATCCATGTGCCCAGATACTTAAATTTATGTACTTGTCTTAAAATAACACCATTGACTTTTATTACACATTTAGGAATAATTTGTTTCTTTGATACCACCATTACTTCTGTCTTCCCATTATTCAAACTGAGGCCCATTCTTCCACTTTCTAACACCACAATGTCTATCATTTCCTGTAATTCTTTCTGACTTGTTGCTATCAAGACTGTGTCATCAGCATAACGTAAATTGTTTATATTGTGCCCACCAACCACGATTCCGGGCATATCAATTAAAGATCTCATAATATATTCACTGTATATTGAAAACAAATCAGGTGAAAGTACACATCCTTGTCGTACGCCCCTCTTTATGCTTTGAAATGTACCTAAACAGTTGTTAATTCTTATAGCTGCTGTTTGCTGCCAATACATATTCTTTATTATTCTTAGATCTTTCCCATCAATGTTTAATTTTTCTAACAGTTTGATTACTTCTTCATGCTTCACTCAGTCAAATGCTTTTGTATAGTCTATGAAGCATAAGTACAAATCAGTCTTTACTTCTATGGCTCTTTCTGACAATGTCCTTAGGATGTATATGGCATTGTTTGTACCTTTTCCTTCTACAAATCCACATTGTTCATCGCTGATTTCTGGTTTAATTTTGTTTCTTATTCTTCTCATAATTATTCTCAGTAAAATCTTAGTCATGTGACTCATAAGACTTATTGTGCGATGGTCTTCACATTTTAAAGTGCCTGGTTTCTTCGGCAGAGCTATAAATATGGATTTTAAAAAGTCATTTGGAATATACCCACTGTTATAAATATCATTTAAAAGTTTAGTTATTATTTCAATTCCAAAATCTCCCAGTGCTTCGATTTCTTCCAGTGAGATTGTTGTCTGGCCCGGGTGCTTTTCAACTTCTGCAGTCATTATTGGTGGACCATCATTGTTGTTCTGCAGTTCTACGTCTGGTCTATTATCATCATACAATTCCCCTATATACTCTGTCCATCTGTTAATTATATACTATGTCCCATTAATAAGTCACCATCCTTTGATATCAAACATCCAGTGCTGTTACGTGTTTTGGTATATATAATTATAATATATGGAACTAGCTGTGCCCTTGCCACGCTTTGCTGTGGCCCCGAATGTTGAAATGGAAAAGAAAGAAAGTAGCTCTCAACTAAGTGTCTTTCATAACCCTCAACCCTCTTCCCTCTCACCCTCCACCAAGTCATATCTCCCTCTCCAAAAGACTGAAAAATCATCCCTGGCGAAAGTATTAAAATAGAAATAGTTAAGAAACGAGAACTTAAAAATAATGTTTTGAGCTCTCTTAGCTAACAGTGTCTGGCATAACCCCCCTCCCCCCCCCCCTTTCTACACCCCCCTTCCCCGTAAACGTATACACACCGGAACCTACCAATCAAACACCTTTCTTAAATGTTTCTGTATTCTAGACAAGGCAATAAGGTCTACTGTGTTCGTAAATTGCTGCTGTGATTGTTATTCGACATTAGCTTCGTTAATATAAATTTCTGTAAACTATGGTGCCATTTCAATGGGTTGAAATGAATTCTGTCTGTATTCCATAGTCGTGGACTTC